CCTTAAAATCAATGCATATGTTTCCAAACATGAATCTAGTCCACAGCACAGAAAGTGTAACTTCTTTAGCTATTCAGAATATCTTAAAAGAATTCTAAGTAATTGGAGTGTCCGCAAATTATCTTAAAAATAAAAACAATTCATACTGGATAAACAAAAATGAAGGTGAAAATAGCTTTTGCGGCTGTAAGTCATTTATTGCAAGTTATTTGTCACCTCACCCTAAATCCTTTCCATTATTAGGAAAGGGAAGCAAAGCCAGTGTTTTCTGTCTTAATCCTCCTTCTCAGATGCTCTGCACAGTATTTTTTTTTTTATAATCAAGCTGCTAGGTAAACCGTTTTCTGAGCACAAGAAGTTGGAGTTCACTTCATAAACCAGGCACTCTTCAAAGTTGTCATAAGCATATTATAGAAATACACACTACTAGACTGGGGTAGTGTACCTTATTAATATTTCATTTTGGTACAATATACTTGCATTAACTCTCTTAACACAGGTATCATATTGTTTCAAGTCAGAGAACCTAAAACATCGTAACAAAGATTAGACTAAGAGCAAAGCCTTGAAAACTACAGCCATTAGTGCTGTCATCCCCTATAAAGTTAATGGGTTGGAAAAATGGTCAATCTTTGGACTAAAAGTTGATATTTAATTGAAAGAAAATGTTTTTTAATTGTAATGGGGATTTTGCATTAGTGTGAACATGAAAAGGTACTAAAGAATCTAATGCAAGGTTATGTATTGATTTCCATCTTAACGCTAGTGTAAAATGAAGGAATATTTCTATTTCATAAACAACCTCGGCTATTCAGCACCATGATTTCTTATTTGTTTTAAGGGCATAGAAGACAGAATTGAACGAAAAGAAGAAATAATAAAATATTCTCAAACATTTTTTGCTGGTGCATAGGACAAAAGCCATGACACCGCTGTAAACCTTGACTGACTCTGCAGCAGAATTATCAAGATGTTATATGTTGCTTTCACATGTTCCAGGGTTATTTGGTTCAGGAAAGCAAGAGCATCTGTAAACCTAGCACTACACCGCCTTAATCAAAATGGTTTTAGTGATCGTGGATTATAACAAGAGACCTGACATAATGGATGTGCAAAGTCTGCCCACAGAATTAGCATCACTATAGCCTAGAAGGATGGACGTATTTAGAAAATGTAGTTTGTCTTGAAAAGGAGAATGCTTGGGTTAAATGAATTTAAATTCTTAGTATTAATAATACTTAGAACACTACGTCGAATTTGCGAGATTTCATCTTCCTTTGAATACAAACTTATGTAAATCAGGTTCTTTTAAATCCTGTACAGTTTTCTCCAATAATAAGCCACTATTTTGACATTCCACTTAATGCACTTATAAACAAAAATTTATTACGAGTCATACCTTATTAAAATTTGCAAGTCAGTATAAGTTACTTCATTTAAAACTGAAAAACAGCATGAAAGATGGAGAAAGCATTGCAAATACTTTATGAAAAGTATTGCTATAATTCTATTATAAAAGTTATTGTGAAACTGAGTACTTATGGTCTGTTGTTAAGGTGCTTCTGTTATATACCCTGTAGTCAACCATTTGTAAACACATCTTTTTGATGTTTCTGCCAACATCCTGGCAACAAAGCAGTGCAATTTCAAATGAGCTAATTAACTTAATTGTTGATGAAGCATGAAACAGTTCATTCACCCTGTTAGCTGCACCATGACAACATAAGAGTCTCAGCCCCTGAAGTTACTCATCTATATAAGCCTATCTGTAGCTTTCCATTAAGATCTATTGCATGCCAAAATGAGTACGGCTCTTCTGACAAAGACCAGTCCGTAATGTACATAGGTAGAAAATCAGTGCTCTTGTTGAAAATTCAAATGAACACAGAAATACTAGTAAGCACTTTAAAAAAAAAAAAAAAAAGAAAAAGAAAAAAATGCAGAAACCCATTGTAGTTTGAAGCTACAGATGAAAAGCAAAAGCTGTGTCACTTATTTTATGCCCTGATTTTGACAATAGCTGGCAACACCAAATACTGAAAGTGAAAACTTTTGACATCACTGTTCAGTCCTGAAAGGTGCAAACCTACTTGTTTGCAGTGGGTTTTTTTCTGAGTGTCTTGTGCACATACAAGAGCAAAAGGAAAAATAAATTAGCGAGTGAGAGTTAAATGGTCACGCTTAGTCCTTTGTGCTTTTTTATTTACACTATACACAGTAATTTCCGCTATACATAAACTGTCAGAATTTAAAGCGTGCTTTTTCATACCGCTACTATCCAATATACAATCTAAAGCATCTCTTCAAATTTTCTGAGGCTCCATTTCAGTAAAGGATAATAAGAGGATTAAACAGTGCGCTATTGAAAGGCCTGCAAAAGTGTTCGACATGAAAGAAAGGGTAACAATTTGACCCTCTGCAGATAGCCTTGATTATCCAGTTGCTTCGAATACACAAAAAAACTCTGACATAATTTACAGTAAAACTTTGTTTGGTGTCT